CCGCCCTCCGCCCCGCCCCGGCGCAGCTCATTGGTCGCCGCTGCGGAGGGGCGGAGCCGGGGGCGGCCCGGGAGCTCATTAGCGATGCGGTCTTCTGGCTCAGCTTGGTAGTCCCGGACCCAGAGAGGAGCTGGGGCTGCGGTCCGCACAGCGGGGACGGCGGCGGGCGGCGCCGCAGGAGGCGATGGGGACGCGCGCTCTGTCCCGCTGCCCACCCGGTGTCCCCGCTCCGTAGGGAACGGCGGTGGAGAAGACAGACTCACCACAGACCACCACCCTCTCAAGGGTCGGGGGAAGCTACTGGAGGTGGTCCCCCCTCGCCGCCGTCGTGTCTCGAGGACTCCCAGGGTGTGGAAGAGGAGCGGATCCAGAGTGGAGCTCGGAGCATGGGGACGGCAGCTGCGGGCGGCGGCTGCGGAGCGCGCCGATGGCTCCCGTGGCTGGGACTCTGTTTCTGGGCGGCGGGGGCTGCGGCTGCCCGAGGTAAGCTCCCGGTGGACGGCGGTGTGCGCGCAGAGAAGCGGACGGAGGAGGAGCGGGACCCGCACCTTCGGCGTGGGCTTCCCAAGTTGTGCTTGCTTCTCTCCCGCGTGCGGAGCGCGACTCGGTGGAAACCGGGTGGAGGAGCTCCAGGGGACCACTGCCTTGCAATCCAAGTTTGCTATCTGCCTCAATCCTACAGGTTGCTGTGACCCGGGCCCCTATCCTTGAGTCTCAGCACCGGTTCGGTTTTCCGAACCCTCCCTATTTGCTGCAGGCTGGATAGCTTTTCTACACTACATCCTCATCCCTCGCTTGCCTCGGTCCTCTCCACTTTTCCTTCTTGCGCGAGCTCGTTCCTGGGTGGGCGCCCACGACGATCTTAGGTAGTACATAGGGAAAGAGGCAGGCGAATGAGCTCCAATAGAGACTGCGCTTTTTTTTCCCTTCAAGGGAAGCAGCGGAGCTGTCCACTTAGCTCTGCGCCAAGCCCAGTACCCCTCGGGCGACCCTAGCTCTGGCTCTAAGCCAGCACTGGCTTTGCTTCACAGAGGCCGCGTGGATGCGGGAGCTCTGGGGAGCTGTGTGTAACCCCAGGGTTTAACAGCGCCTGCAGTGCCCAGCCGGATAAGCAGTTGGCCAGAGGCTCCACTCCAGGCGCATCTTCTCCCTACTCGGTGCTTACTCTAGCTAGGAAGCGGGGCCTCCCTGAACAGCAGGAAGATTTCAGCTTCTAATAAGCTCAGGACCCCCTCCCCGCCCCTTGGCGCTCCCCCCCCCCTTTTTTTCTGGATCCGCTGCACTCCAGCAGAGCATCAACTTAAAGATACACCCCCACGGACCTGTTTTGAAGCTGATCACAGGCAGTTTCAGACAGCCCTGGTGCCGTGTCTACCTTTGAAATAATCCAGAAGCTTCTCAGTTCCCTGCCCTCTGTTACCTTTCTTTGCTGCGTGACATCCAGCGGGCTTAGAATATGTAATTGCATTAAACGTTTTCCCTCACCTTCTTCTCTGTCTCCTGAACATAGTCTCGGTAGCTGTGAGGCCTTTGGAAGGGTTGACAGCGATCCCAGGGACTGGTATAATCTCATTCTTATAGAAGCTAGCGTTGTTAAGAGCAGTTATAGTGCCTGGAAAGAAGCATTTAAAGGGTGAATAGAGGTTTTCAGCTGTACGGTCCTATGATCCTATTCTGTGCCTATTTGCATTTCATTTCCTGAACTTTTTTTTTTTTTTTCCAACGGAGCTGGTTTAAAAAACAAAAAGCAGGAAAGGCTTACAAATGAGCTTCGGTGATTCCCACATACTGTTACAGTGAGGCATGCTTCCTTATCTTGCTGGAAGAAGCCCGAGCTTCAGCCATTTAATTTACTACGGAGAACTGGAAACTGCCTGACTGCTCAGTCAACTCTGCGTGTTTTTTATACTGTTAGGGGGAAAAGTGAGTGCCCTTCCCCTTTTTCCTTCCCGGGGGTCAAAATGTGGGAGTTTTTACTTACTGTTCACAGTGTGGGATGGCTCCTGGTGACTGACTCCAGGTACTGGCCCTTAGAATTTGGTTTGTGGAGTTGTCTTTAAGCCAGCTCAAAACAAGAGGTGGGAACATGCCAGCAGCCTCTTGGATGGAGTTTTTCTGGCTGTGAAACCAAGGCTAGCACCTCTTGTCGGCAAGCTGTTCTGCAAAGGTCTCCTGGAAAACATACTGTACACTCTGCAGGCTTATTTACAACAAATGTTTTGCACAGATCATAGAGATGCCCAAGATACATGGAGCAGTAAATCTGAGTCATGCGTCTCCTTTCATTTTTCCATTCACCTTTAACAGCTTTTGGAGATACTTCATGAAATGCACATTAAACAGGCTACAAAACCAGTGAATTCTCTTGCACCTGGCGTTGGATAGGTAGGCACAGTAGAAGTTTTCAAATCAGAGGTGTTTTTTTCCACGTTAAAGTCTATCATTTCAGCAAGGTATGGTGCATTACAACCAGGATGCTGTGGACTTGTGTAGCATCCTTGTTTAGCAGTTTCACTGTGCTGTGTATGGTTGATCAGTTCTATCAGTGATTTCCGCATTTGAAAGTCAATAGTTTATAATTCTGATGACTTTTTCCTTTGGTGGTGCTGGGGGATTGGACCCAGTTCCTGGACTATGGTGGGCAAGGACTCTTTCATTGACACATAACTGTAGCCCATCAAAGATAGCTCTTGTGGGTTTGATCCAAGATGTTATAACTTAGTGAACAGGATATATGGAATGACTCCATTTGCTTTGGTGGTATAGTGTGTATGAGATTCCATGGCATTGTCCTTAGAGTATTTACCATGTGTCAATTTCCGTGATGGTGGTACCATCTCCTTTCCCTCTAACTTTCCTTTGCTTCTATACGTCATATAAAAAAAAATCTGAAAATCTGAGGATCATTTTGGATGATTGATTTCAAATATTCTCAGTGAGGAATCCACTTGGGACAAGGCACAACATGAAGGAAGCAGCCCTGACACAGAATGGCATTTAGTTTTCTGCCTTACTAATCAAAGCTTATGCCTTCAGAGAGAAAGTTTTATTCCTGCGGGCATAGTAAAATGATGGCACCCTGATACCGTAATTATTGTAGGTTTTGACACTTTACAACTCAGACAAAGGATGTTTAAAAGTTACTTGTGACCTGCCAAGTGCTAATTGAATCCACACCGTGTCATGCTGATTTGTTTTATTCTTAGAAGAGAGTGCAGCTGATGGAGTTGTGATCTCCACTACTGTGCAGAGGAGATCGTGTCATTAAGCAGGCTAGAGGATGATATTTGCTCCCAATAACTAGAGGTGTACACTTACAACAAAGAACATACACATTTAGGTCATAGGCACCGGGGGCCATATGATTTACACATGCTCACATCTACTTCTCCCCATTTTTTTTTTATAGCTGTTGGCACTTTCTTAGTGTTATTTGAAAACCCTTCCCTTTTATTTTTCTTCGTGTGTTCCTGTGTTTCAAAAAATATAATCTGCTCATAAGATGGAAGGTAAAGCAGCCTCCACCCTGCAACTTCCTGCCATACCTTCTCTGATTCAAACATTGTGCTCTTGGCTAGAGCAGTCCTGAGGCACCTTCTCTGCCTGCCCAACAAAGCACTCTCTGCTCAAGAGATCTTTGAAGTATCTCACTTTCTGAAGAGATTAATTGCTTTGCCTTGTCTAATGAAGGTTGTGAAAGCACCTGAACTCTTTATGTACTTCCTCACTATGAGCTAGCTATGGATGAGTTTCATTCTTGAGGTAGTAAGTACTCAAGTCCCAGGAAGCCCAGCTGGTCCCAAGGGTTCTCCGTGGGTGCTCTCAGGACTGACAGGATTGATCAAGTAGACCCGGTGAATGACAGATTCACTTCTCTCTTCTTTTCTAGATGACTTGTAAACTTGTGTTTTATTTATTAATTTTTCTTTCCCAGAGTACAGTACCCATCTTAAGACATTGCCAACATGGAGTTTATGAAGAAATTGGTTTCTTGGGAGATAGAGGCTATTCACTAGCCTTCTCTACTGCCTATTTTGTTTTGTTTTTAAATATTAGAGTACAGATCCAAGCCACGTGTATGAAAATTGACTCCCAACATTATGGTCTTTAAGGAAGTAGTAGTAGTATTGTGGGGTACCCTCATCACGAAAAGGTTCACATGTGTGCTGTCTCTCTGGGTTATACCTTTGCCAGTAATCCTTATTGTCTTTACCCCAGGCAATGCCTCCTGAGTGACACTGTTTTTATTGTCTCCCCTCTATCTATTCTGATGCCGTCATAACCTAACTGTGAAGTAGAACAATAATGGAACCTAATGGAACCCATTCTGTCCACCTGGAGTCACATAGGTCATGTAAAAGCCACATGCTTATTCCTCCCTTTGTGTGTGTATGTGAGTGTTCACACATACAGAAACTAGAAGGTAACATGACGTCTTCCTTTAATCACCCCCTGTCTTATTTTTTTTAATATTGTAATTACATTTATTTATTCACACACACATACACTCACCAAGAGACGGGGGCGAGGAGGCATGTGTGTGCCATGGTGCCTATATGGGGGCCAGAGGAAAATTTGCAGAAGTGTTCTCCCCTTTCCTGCCTGTGACACCCAGGGATTGAATGCAGGTCATCAGGCTTGGTGGCAAGCACCCTTACCGACTGAGCCATCTTGCTGGCCCTCTCAGCTTATGTTTTATCACAGGGTCTCTCACGGAACCTGGAGCTCATTTATTGGCTGGGGTGGCTAGCCACCAAGCACCAGTGATGTCTTGTCTCTGTCTCCCCAGTGCCGGGGTTACAGTGTGCCACTTTTTGAACCCTGCTTTTAAGTGGACACTGGAGATCCACACTCAGTCAGCCATCTCTGCCCTTTATCTTCATTTTCGACATTGTTGGTTTGAGAACAGTCATTTTTACTCTGTATTCTGGCTATTCTTTGAAAGAAGGCGTTTTTGAATTTTTGGATATGAACTTATTTTGATATTATTCAGTATGTACCATTAATTATTCTGAATATGTTACCCACATCAATTCATTTATTCCTTAAAATGACTCAGTATGGTAAGTGTTATTATTTGTAAGCTAGGAAGAGAGGAGCATGAGGGTTAAATAAAAATCTAAGACCATGGAGTAGTTAGGATAGTTAGGATAAGTAGTTAGTTAAGTCATTCTGACTTAAAAGCTTATAACATACAGTGTAGCTAAGCTATGCTGGAAGTAAGTGGTCCCTTGCATTTTGTTGACAAAAGTGCTAAAATGGTATCTTCATAACTATCAAGAATTATAGAGGAATTTGAAGTAGCTTAAATATATCTGCGAATATATTCAGATAAATCTAAGAGATTTATGTTGTATGAAAACAACACTCTTACAGCATTCAGTTTAGTATACTTTGGGATTGGAGTCACGCTTAAAATGCTGAATACCACTTTCTAATATGATAGCTTGCTTTTTTTTTCCCCTTTCCAGTCTTGAGTGTCA